TGAAACACACTAGTCAAGTTGTAGCTTGAAGCTGAATAAGCTGAATAAGCACAAATTCCACACAGAAAGAGACAAATCACATCAACAGCTTTTACATAGACTGCAAGAAACACCTAATGCATCTTTGATAAAACGTCCCATTCCTTCACAGGATTCCACACAGCAATTGAGACAAATCACACCAACAGTTTTTACATTAACCGCCGCAAATGAACCTACTGTTTTTGATAAAGTGTCTCATCCCTCCAAAGGATCAATCTACTGGCCAGCTCCCAACTCCTGAGCTGAGCCACCTAACCGCCAAAGGTTGCAAAGGAAGGTGGGCCTCAGAATCAATAATTAGACTCCATTGTCTCTTTGAAAATGTTGATTCCTTCACAGGATCAATCTACTGCTTTGGTGTGATGACAAGCACTGCCAAACCCAAAGGATTGAGCTATTGTTTTTTCATGGTAAGCTGTCTGAACCCTTCAAAGGATCAATGCATCTAGTGTTTAAGTGTAACGCCAAACTCTCAACTCCTGAGCTGAGCCACCAAACCTGCAAAGGTTGAGAAGAAGGAATTTGACCTCACCAAATGCAAATCACCCCAACAACTGTGACAGTGAGCGACTAAATGACTCCAGCATGGGGGGCATTGACTCTCTTTGAGATATAGTTGAAGACATCGGGGCGTGACATCAGTCCTTTCAAACGTTATGAAAATCTTGTGAACAAACACAAGCCTGTGAAAATCATGTGAAAAAGTACTTTTTTCACAGCCCGTGAAAAATTGTTTTCCTTTTACTTTAAACGGAACACTACTTTTTCACAGCCTGTGAAAAAATCACTTTTTCACATGATTTTCACAGAGTTATTGTTTCTAAAGCCTTTTGTATGGCAAGCTTTCTGAACCAATGAAAAGATACATATACACTAATATAGTTCTTTTTGCCTACTGCCAAAGCCTCTCAACTCCTGAGCTGAAGCACCACACTACCAAAGGTTCTGCAGAGGGAGGCTGACCTCAGAAGAGATTGGCTGAACAAATGATTCAACAAGTGTGATCCTGACCCAAGCAAGACCCTGATGTTTTGCTGAGTCCTTCAACGGATTGAACTATTGTCTGTTGTTCAGCTATGTGAATCCTTCAAAGGATCAATGTAGTGTCCATGACAAACTGTCTGAACAAAGGGCCACTCCTTCAAATGGTTAATCTTCTGAGTCCTCCAAAGGGCTGAGCTACTGTTTCTTTTTCCCTGCAAAGCTGTCTGAATCCTTGAAGGGGCCAACACAAGGTTTGATGCCAACTCAATCTGCCTAATCCTGGGCTACCACAGCTTCTGAAGGTTTTAACCAGCAGAGACAGATCACATCAACAGCTTTGAAACTGACTGAAAACAAGTTTCTCAGCAGTGACTGGAAAATATACATTAGCACTTATATATCTTTCTCTGAGACATGTTCTGAGACCTTCAAAGCGTTGAGCTATTGTTTATTGTTTTCATCTGTGTAATCCTTTAAAGGAACAATCTACTGTTTGGTCTGCAGCCAAACGCTGCCAAATCCTTCAAAGGGTTGTTCTTTGTCTTTTTCAGCTTTTGGCCATAGCTGCCATCAGTTCAAATTGCCGCTGCCCTCCTCCTCAGGTTCAGGTTCAGGAGGCGCTGGCTCTATTCGCACCTAGGAGGCAATGCAGCAGGCAATGCTGGGCGCTGTCTCCATGGTGGAAGTGGAGGCGCGGGCTTGACTTTCACCCTTGGATCTATGGTGATCACTGGTTTGTGCAGTCAGCTCTTGCCAGAAGTGGGTGATGAAGCAGCTGGCCTCATCCAAACTGATACTTGCTCCTGGAAGAGGAGGTCCCCTGCTACTGGAAGAGGAACTGCTGTGGACCAGAGATCCTTCGCTTGATCAATTGCTGGCTTCTTAGCTGGTGGTGATGGAGCGCAATTGGTGGCTTCTTAGCTGGAGGTGCCTTGGATGGCTTTGCTGAGGCATCAGCTCCAGCGCCATCAGCAGCTGGTGCAGCTGCAGGATGGCTTTACTGCAGGCGCACTGGATGGCTTTGCTGCTTGGCCATTGGCAGCTGGTGCAAGTACAGCTGCTGCACTGGATGCCTTTGCTGAGTCAGCTGTGGTGTCAACTTTCCCTCCCATTGCCAGTGCCGCTTCCACCAGGTCTTTTTCCACTCCAAAGCACCTGCCTTGCTTTACATCCTGGACCCATTTCTTCCTTTTCTGTCCACCTCCGGTCTTGGATCTATAGTATTTGGT